CGCTAAGTACATTGCCGGGGAAACTACTGAACTCTGGAAGGCGCTGAAAGAAAATCAGGAATGAAATGTCTAATTAGAAAGTATTTACCGTGTTTACAAAAGAGGCACGAGCTTTATAGTTATCGTTTTCTTAGGATTCAACTAACGACCAAAGTGCCAAGGACCATCTGCTTGTAAAATCCAAGTTTCTGCTCGACTTTCGTTGATGAATTTCATGTATGCCGCTGTATAGTGGCACCACTCACTCAGTTTAATCTATATGGAGGAGTCCCTGAGCGGTGCTGGCAAAATTGATTATTGAATCTAGTTACAAACTAGCGAGCACCGAGATTTTATCTCACGAGGGAGATAGAACAGACTTTTATTTTGTCTGACGCATCTATATTATAAATATCATAAAGATTCGTGAACTAACAACGCCCCTGTCTACTAGTCTAGAGAATTTTATAGAAATATGTCGTAAATAAACTGCGGAATTTCATATTTTGACAACGGATTGCTTTGTATATTAAAAACAAAGAAAGTGTCGGTTCTCAGAGCAGACAGGTAATAAGTACCACACACACGATCGCAAAGCATATTATGCGACTGAAATGTTTACGGCGTGTTGACAGAACGCAGGGATCATTCGAATAAATTGATCTATAAAAAATGATTTAAATACCAAACTCAAGCAACGATGTAATCTCTTCCTAAACTAATAATAATTTAAACTTTACTACTCAGCCGTAAATCTTAAAAATTATTTCACTATTATAACGCGACATATTTTAATACCTACGTTTTTACTACTGCACATAAAAAACTTACCCTCAATAACTAATTTTAAGGAAATCGTGTCATTTTCACGCCGATGACGTCACATTAGTTTAACCATTGGCCAATCAAATGCACGCAATTTGTGATTCGGTAATTTGCGGCTCAATCAACGAACGTGATTGTCCATTATGTGTAACTGCGTGATCACCGAAACATAAGCGGATCGCATGTTTACATAACATAGATTCGGCGAAGGTACATGGCTACATGGGCTACACAGCCACTCAAATATCTACTGTTACGTTTGTCTGGTATACGGAGCGCACAAACAAATCATTCCTGGAATTGTCTTACTCGTCCTTATCTTAATTTCATGAGCTCGCTTCCTCCGGCACACGTACCGGCCGCGCCCTAGATGTATGTGGCTCTCGTCACATGCACAGGACCATTCTGTTTCTCTCTCGTGTGGAATCAATTGTGGTCGGTGCCCCCGTCGCGGCAGATTGCCATCTAGCACGCGATCCCGATCACCCGACCCTACGCACGCGACGTCGAACAAAAGAAACTTACCAATCGAAAATTGTATCATTCCAGACTTTACCTCTTCATTTTCGATGCTATCGTGTTTTACGTAACGAATGATTTATTTCGTGTTGTTATCGAATAATATCTGATGGTTCTGAGGGGTCCTCATCGAAATACTCTCAACACATGCAATGTTATTTGTACCATTTCATTGTTGCACCACTTAGCACCTAATTTTAACTCAGATGCTCGTTTATGCAACTATTTCTTTTGCATATAATTAACAATTCAAATGCGGTATTTTTTCCGTGCTCTGCAACACTTTCGAGCGGCCCTGACGTCCGCTGCCGACGACGACTCGAATGCAAATGAGCATCGATCGCCTGTGTGACGTATAGAGCGCACACTTCTCACCCCTTTCTTGCGACTACCCGCCAACTTGATTTACAATCCCGGATACGAGTTCCCCGTTCGAATCCAACCTATACGGTTAAATTACGAACGTTACTTTTTTCACTATGTCACAGTGACACTATAATTTAGGGCACCGCCCCTTTACTTTCCAAAGCCTTTGAATATTCATACGACTATAGCAATCAATAACGGCCACAAAGAAAATAGTTTTCGCGTGCACGCACGCGATATAATGTCGCATAAACAAATAATTTCTTCGTTTTTATTGTTATCCTTGAATTATGTTATTGCTACTCGAATTTACACGGCCCCTTTCCCGCCATCGGTCAGAAGCGATCAAATGGCGACCGATAAATTTTAAACTTCCGTGACTGGACGACGTTAATTGAGCAGCGCGTTTTTTTTAAATATCCATCAAAAATGCACATCTTAATGGCCAACAATAAAAAGTGATATCGTTACATACTTTATAGACTAGGAGATAAGAACTGCAGAAGAAAGTAGATCAATATAAGTGTAATACATAATATTTAAACTAGCCGCGTCCCGCGGGTCGTCGGCCGGCCATGTTGACGATTTTGATGTGTATACTAGAGGTATACAAAATGGCGCGACCTGTGTTGCGTCACACGCCTGTGGAAATAACCTCAGTTTTTTGACAATATTTCGAAGCACGTCGCAGTAATTGCCCGCGTGCCGTTTACAGAATAACAAAATGTCTGCAACAAGATCAAAGGCATTAATAGACGTGTGTTGAAATTTATCGACGGCCCGTATGTCGAAGGATGAATATATACATACAAATCGCGGAGAGTCGTTTGTCTGTGATTTTAAAATTATCTACTATATTAGCGAGACGTTTTATTTACCGAGTACCTTTATAGTTTTGTATTTACGTCCGTCCGTTTACACTGAACATTGAATTACTCGGTTCATAAGAGATAACTGCGTGCTTCACATTTTGATTCGCTACGATATGTCAAGCGGTTTTGAAGTTATAAAAGAAAAACCGCGAGGACCGCCCCGGAGCGAGCCGCAACTTTGAAATAAACTAAATGATCAGCCAGTCTCGACGGCGGCCGGGACACCGGTGACATTCTAATTATGTTGTGATCGGCACTTATTGATATACCGGGTGTCTTTTTAATACCAAAATAGAATTTTTATTATGGAAGCCTATTTTATTCCAACAGTTAGTGTATAAAGACGGATATTACCTCATCCTCCTTAATATACAGTTCGCGCGCACTACGGGTGACTAAATACATTTATATTTGTTTGAAAAGTTGTCGCCACTCATTTGTTCCAAATAAAAAACTGACATATCGTGCGTGGCAATTTAAATTTGGAACGTCATCGTGATTTAATTATTACTTTTCCTTCCAACCACAGAGGGAGCGAGCGTCGAACTAAAGTCTGCAGATCTTGTCTCTGCATACGATAAAGTTTAAGTAGCAATTTACACAAACATTAGAAATGTTATTAATTTACAAACGAATCACGTATATAGAGTTATTGTCTAACATTATGGTCAGGCGAGATCATAATCTGGAATATATTTTAAAATATTTGTATCACGTTCGCTCAGTCATAAGTCGTTAAGTTCGTGAACGGTTGGTTTCACAAAAAAATATTGTCTATAGAAGGACATAACAGCGTTTGTTATATGATTTGGAACGTGAGAATCACCAGAAAGTGACAACATCGCCTATGAAATTTTTGAAAGTGAAAACAATAAAGTTTTACTCTCGAGGTACAAAAACTTCATAAATCTGGTGAAAGTTAAAAAGCCGTTAGAACTGCTAAACATTGAGCTATAGCTCTATTATAAATTAGGTATTTAGAAATCGGATACTGGGAACCTCCCAAACTCCATGGTAATCTAACATGTAGCCGAATATAGTTTTATACAACCCAACAAGAGGTGTAAACAATGTCAGTGCGCGGTACATTAATTCATTTTTAACTCTCAATAAATAAAATACACTTTACGTTCCAATAAAAGCCGGTTGTGAGTTTTCGAAGAAAAACAATTGCACTTCAGTCCATTATGCTTTTTATTGTCAAATAATTAGAGACGAAGACGGCGCAACAACAGACAAATCTAAAATAAACCAAGTGGAAATACTTGTGAGGAAATTAGCGTACATATTGTCGGTTTTAAAATAAAATTTAAGGACGCAATTAAGTCTTTGTGATCCTTGAAAATTAATACGTCAACTCACAAACGATCCGTTTTCGGAGTCGTTAAAATACCGCAAAGCAAATAACATTATCGTTTTTCTTTAAACACTTGACGGATGTGGCCGATTTTTAACGTACTCCGGTACACAATACGACTGAACCTAAAGAGTACAGACTACACTTAATAATGTACTTATCTAAGGAGATGGCGTCCAATTATTATCATGTTCATAAGATAAAATAAATGGGAGCGCCGCGCTAACACCGCTCGGATTTAACACCAAAAATTCTTTGAACTCGAAATATACTGTAACAAATATTACCCGCAAGAGATCCGAGTATCCGAACATTATGCGCGCACTTTAATTCTATAATCATCTCTGCGAACGTCTAAAACTAATTACGCGAGTTAATTAAAGTAATTCCGTGCGTACATCACCATCTAAATAGTGTCGTTTCATTGTGAGCGCGGAGACAATATGTTGACAGGATGAATGACCACAGCATGGCGGCCCGGCTTCACGCGTAACTTCACTTGTTTATGAGTGCGCGGGCGCAGTTTTAGGATTACTGGGCTTAGGCGATGACTGCTCGTTCCCATTCAGCGATTATCTGCAAAGCGCCATGCATCGGTGTAGAGTTTAAATGAAGCGCCTAATTTCAATTGTACCAAATATAACTCTCGTATTTATTACTTGGCAACAGTTGAAGCAGGAGCTACTAACACGGATGTTCGCTGTACGCAGCCCTACGCGTGTGTGCGCCGAACAATTTAGCGGCAATTAAAATTGTTCGTGTGCGGATTCGAATGCAAAATGATTGCAATATATTACTTAGATATATAGCTGTTTACACTGTATAATTAACTACACTACAACTTTCGCACCGTACGCATGACGCTATTGTTGCTGCTCCAATTTCACGATTCACAAACGAGCTTTCATAACTAAGAAAACCAATAAAACTAATTTTGTTCAACAAAGTCATAAAACATTCGTGGAAACCTCGTAATCGGGCAATCATGTGTATTTTTCTAAACGTCATTTTAAGTTAGATAATTGCAGCTTGAAGGCTAATTGATTAGTATGTGTGTAACGTTATTATTGTCTTGTCTATAGTTGGGACGAAGGATGGCACCGGCGCAGTGTTCGGACGACCGGAGGGTGACGGTGACGACAGGCTCACGCACGCGATTCTGAGTGAAGCGCATATGATGAAGACGCCTACCGGACCTCCTCACAATGATGACTCCAGAAGCAATGAGGACTCGAGCTCACCGAGAACTCAGTGCCCCTCACCGTTCTCTAATAAGGTATGACATACATTTATAGGCTTTTAAAACATACATTTATTTTCAACTGCGATCAACCACCAAAATTAAAAATTAATCGTGTTGACTGCTTAAATTAATTAGTAATTGTCCCTTCCACAGGACTCGAGTCAAAACAGAAGACTTAAGAAGTATGAGAACGATGACATTCCCCAGGAGAAAGTAGCGCGCATATACCAGGAGGAACTTGCCAAAATCATGACTAGGAGAGTAGAGGACATCCGTCGTGAAGGCTTCCCTGGGTAAGTGTTCATTCTGGTCCCAAAATTGAAATCAAAAATCGACTTTCCCGTAAACTAAATCAAAACCCTCATATTTACCAAAAATTTAAACGAGAACAGCAAATCTAAAACTAACGTATAGCATGTTTCCTCCTTTTTTCAGCGGCGGCATGCCACCCCACATGGAGAGGCCCCCAGAAGACATCCGCATGGCTTTAGAAGCATACCATAGAGAGCTTGCCAAGATACAACCTGGCGGTAACATTCCCAACATGCACAACTTGCCAGCCATGCCGCACTTTCCAAATCTCCTTGCGTTGCAGCAACAAGCAATGCAACAAGCGCAGAACCAGCAGATGAACGGCTCGGGAGCGGTCCAAGATCTCTCTTTGCCTAAAGATAAAAACGCCAAAATGAATGGAATGACTGATAGTGATAAGGATAGGTCAATGGATGCCGAAGAGGCTATTAGGCACGCTGGAAGCGCATTCTCATTAGTAAGGCCAAAACTCGAGCCGGGACAGCAATCAACGGGATCATCCGCGTCCAGCCCACTGGGTAATGCGATACTGCCGCCTGCCATTACCCCAAATGACGACTTCAGTAGCTCAGCGGCAGCAAGTCCGCTACAGAGGATGGCATCTATCACGAACAGTCTCATATCCCAACCTTCAAATCCTCCTCACCATCCACCTGTACAAAGGTCGATGAAAGCGGTTCTTCCACCGATAACGCAGCAACAATTTGATCTCTTTAACAATTTGAATACAGAAGATATAGTACGGAGAGTAAAAGAGGCTTTAAGCCAGTACTCCATTAGCCAAAGACTGTTCGGAGAGTCTGTCCTAGGACTATCGCAAGGATCTGTGAGCGACTTGCTAGCGAGGCCGAAGCCCTGGCACATGCTCACACAGAAGGGACGAGAACCTTTCATTCGAATGAAAATGTTCTTAGAAGATGACAATGCTGTCCACAAGTTGGTTGCATCTCAGTACAAAATAGCGCCGGAGAAACTAATGAGGACCGGAAACTATAGCGGAGCACCTGGTAAGTATTATCTCTAAATGAAAAACTTATTACATATTGTATAATTAGAAAATAGAGTGGTAGTTTAATTGTATTTTCCTTTTCTGTTCTTACAGCATGTCCGCCGAATATGAACAAACCCATGCCGCCAACACAAAAGATGATATCCGACGCGACCTCCTTGCTGAGCAAGATGCAACAGGAGCAGTTGCTGGGTGCCGGACACCTCGGCCACCTCGGGCAGCCCACGCCGCTGCTGCTGACGCCGCCCGGCTTCCCGCCGCACCACGCCGTCACGCTGCCGCCGCAGCACCACGAAAATAACAACAAGGAGAGGAAGCCCCCGCCACCGCCACAGCCCCACCACCAGGCGCCAGTCATGCGCAACCTGCACCAACACATATCGCCCAGCGTTTATGAAATGGCCGCACTTACCCAAGACTTAGACACACAAACAATAACAACTAAAATTAAAGAAGCATTACTGGCAAACAATATTGGCCAGAAAATCTTTGGTGAAGCTGTTTTAGGACTATCACAGGGTTCCGTTAGTGAATTACTATCAAAACCGAAACCTTGGCACATGCTTAGCATCAAAGGCAGGGAGCCATTCATTCGCATGCAGCTGTGGCTAAGCGATGCACACAATATTGATCGCTTGCAAGCTTTGAAGAACGAACGACGAGAAGCTAGTAAACGGCGGCGGTCAAGTGGCCCTGGACAAGACAACTCATCCGACACATCGTCGAATGATACGTCAGAGTTCTACCACTCCAGCTCACCGGGCCCCAACACGGGAGCGCCGTGTGCCAAGAAACAACGAGTATTGTTCTCTGAAGAGCAGAAAGAGGCGCTCCGATTAGCATTCGCTCTCGACCCTTACCCTAACATGCCAACGATCGAATTCTTGGCCGCAGAATTAGGTCTGTCGTCACGAACCATTACCAACTGGTTCCATAATCATCGAATGCGACTAAAACAACAAGCGCCACATGGCTTACCAGCAGAACCTCCCGCGCGAGATCAATCCTCTGCACCTTTCGACCCAGTCCAGTTCCGTCTCCTTCTCAACCAGAGACTACTAGAACTGCAAAAGGAAAGAATGGGCCTTGCTGGAGTACCTCTACCGTACCCACCATACTTCGCAGCTAACTCTAACCTAGCAGCACTGATTGGTCGAGGGTTAATACCGCCCGAAGACCAGGTCAAGGATCAATCTGGTGGCCTCGATCTATCGATGCCACTAAAACGAGAACCCGACGGTGATGACTTCGAGGACGATGACGTCGAGAGCAACCTCGGCTCCGAGGACTCGTTGGACGAGGAATCTAAGACTGAGCCGAAGGCGGCGTCTACACCCGCAGGTCGATCGAGCAGACGAAAGCCTGCCGCGCCGCAGTGGGTTAACCCCGATTGGCAGGACGAGAAGCCACGCAACCCTGACGAAGTGATAATCAACGGAGTGTGCGTGATGCGAAGCGACGACTTCCGGAGAGAGGCGGAGGAGACGGTGCGCGTGGAGCCCTCGCCGGTGGCGCGCGAGAGCTCGCCTGGCGGCACGCCTGGCGCGTCGCCGGCGCCCGCCACGCCACGGACGCCGCGCACGCCGCACACGCCACGCCCGTCACACACGCCTGATGACGTCATCCCCGAGGACAAGATTAAGGCCGAGACCGACGACGGCTGGGAGTACTAGGCTCCGCTCGCTCCGCTCTGGTGAAACGGGTCCCGAACTGTGACGTGCAGACTGTACCATATCACGTTCGAACAATTATTAATTTATTGTGTGCCGCGCAGTGTGAGTGTCCGTCGGTCCGGTGGCGACGTTCAGTGCAAATGTTACTGTGTAGCTAGTGTTCGTTGTATTTCGATTGTAAGGCCAAAGACTTTGTACATACTACCCGTGTAGCTTCTCGTGATACGCCAGTACGTAAACTTGCGATACAAAAATATGCATTTTGCTTTAATTTTTTAATGTAAACTCGTACCCTGATTAGGTACAAATATCTGAGTATTTTTAAGTTACGGCTTTTTGATTCGATTGTAAATAAATATACCAAATATGTGTCGAATATTGCCTGTGAACCAGACCCTGTATATAAGTAGGTTAGTCTATTCGTGTAAGATAACTCTGTCGCTGATACAGTTAGGGGTAGGGGAAGGTTCATTTAATTGTTAATGAAAATTATAAAGTGCAATCAGATGTAAATTTAAGCTATGGTTTAACGAGCCCCAGTTGAAAAGTATTATTATGTTTATTAGAACCGGAGAGGTTTAAAATATTATAATCGGGTTATATAAGTTAACATTTAAATTATTAATGTTTATTTTATTACTATTGTATGTTTTCTATTGCATTATTTTATAGAACGCCGCGGGACCGCTCAACTTTGTGATTTTAGCTGTCATTTTTATAACGTTTAGTTATATCATAAACTCTCAGTTCTAATTCCATACAATAGCTCTATTGTTTGTTTCTTTTCATTTTTATATATTTTTTAGAAAATGTACAAATCAAGACACAAAATAATACGATTAAGCAAGTAATGTATTGCTTATGGTTTATAGTTTTATTTTATTTTAGCAATAAAATTTGCTTTTAATCTTATTTTCTTTATTTTATTTTACCTCCTTATTTTTCCTTTTTTTTTTCTTAGGAAATAAGTAAAAGAAAATGTAAATTTTAAAGGAACCATACTCCTTGCATCACGTTGTACATAATTATATTCAGTTTAAATGTAAATATCTATTTGAAATGCCACGTTAGATTAATATACCTAGGTAAGTAGGAAAATAGTTTAACCCAAAAAATTTAACTTCGTAAAAGGGTAAAATCATAAATAATCGAAATTATTGTCATTCTAAAAGTGTATCGAAATTGTAACGAAATTATGTCAGAATAGATTTAGGCCTTCAGGTTTCAATAAAGTGAACAGTTTGGAAGATTTCAATTTTACATGAAGAATATTAAATTCTTTAAAAATACATCCATTTTTAGAAATACCAACATACATATCGATGTTATATATAAACAGTAAGTTAGATAAGTAATAGCGTATAATAGTCAAAATTAACAAACTTAGGCTGTTTAACAGTTACAATGGTTATTTTAACTCTCCAACTCCGAAGTGAAGGTTTTTTAACTTATTAAATCATTGATTTTTAGAATCATTTCATAGCTTTTTGCTTTTAAAAGAATAATATACGTATATTATGAATATTATTGTTATTTCATATACATAGATGCTTCGAATATTTTCGATAAAAATGGTCAAATAAAGTGTTTTAAAAAATGGCGTAATTCCCAAGTTTGTCATTCATGTCAGTGTTGCCAAAGGGAATGATTGATACAGAACAGATATTAATTACAATTTATTTATTTGAAAATGTTTAAACAACGAATAGGTAATTGAACGATTTTATGAATATGAAATACCTGTTTAAAGATTGTTTATATATTATGGAAAACTTACGTTCTAGGTATATTCTGACAATTTAAAAATTGAAAACATTTTAAGCATAGATGAGATGATGTAAGCAAGAGAAAAGTTTTATAAATGGCTGTGGAATATGCAAGCTTATGGGATTGTGGTTCGGTGAGGAATATCAAAATATTGGAAGCATCTGTCATTTAAGATACGCCATCTTGTATTTTATATTGTTACGTTGAGTGTTGCCAGGTTAGAATGTAAATAGTAATCCGGTAGTGAATAGATTATTATTATGCGTTATATCCATTATAATAATGAATAGTATTAAAAATTATAGCGATAATTATTATTGTTCATATCATAATATTAATTAATAACGATGCTGAAAACCATTGTCTTCTTTCCGAACAATTTCTAAAGTTATTAAAATTAAAAATAAAGAAATTGCTAATCACATTTTGTTTCATTGTTTAAATAAGTCCAAAGTTTTTTTTCACATTACTGGAAAACCATTTAGGTAAGTATATTAATTCACAGCAAAATAAGGTTAGAGTTTATTGTATGTAGATATATTCACATATATATCTCCCTCTCTCATTGTCGATAAGAGCCAGCGCCTCTAAGATGCTATATTAAAAGGAATCAGAGTCATCAGTCATCACCACAGATTATTACAAAATGTGTATCTAGTCTAGTCATTTATAAAAGCATCTCACTAAAAGCAAGCCAGTCGTTTAGGAGTTAGGATTACTTAAGCAGAGTTCCATTTATGAATTAAATAGGTGATACATGTGTAAGGTAAAAAAATAATATACTAAGACATAGGTACCTCTGTGCATACCTTCATATCAGTAGGTTTACTATTACCTACAGCGATCCTGAAAATAAGTCAAAACTTGAGATCTCTTATAATTTAGTAAGAACCTAATCTGTACTTTGTACCTAGAATTCATTTGGGAACGAAGGAAACTAATTGTTATTTTAAAGTAGGTAAACATTTCTCTGTAGGTGCATAATATATGTACTCTTTAAACCAACAGAGGTGTATAATACTATATGTATATTTGATTAATCACCCACATATTACCAGTTACATAACTTATAAAAAGGATGGAAGAATGTAATACTGTAACTACTTGTTACAAGCTTACGCGACTATGGCTAATTACAACATTCAAGGTTTGACTCCTAGGTTAAAAAACAATTGTATCGAAATTACAAAATAACTAGAGAAAATTAGTACCGATGTTATGAGATCTCGTGTTTACCAATACCTACCCCATCACCATTTACTTATTATTCTAAATAAAGATTCAAAAACATAAAATCACAATACACTTCTTTATTAATAACCAACACAAAAGATATTGTCACAGAAACATCTAATCTATTTCTTCGATGACTGGTCCATCGCTACCACCTTGCCCGGTCTTTGAAGAAGACCCATGGATTTTCCTCATAATCGGAGAAAACTCTTGAGAAACCTCCTTAAACTTGGCTTCATATTCATCCTGCTCAGCTAGCGAGTTACTGTCCAGCCAACGTAAAGTATCATCACATTTACGACGAATCTTAGCACATTCCATCTCGCCCAATTTGCTCCCCGCATCGTCAATCGCTTGCTTTACATTAAATACATATGTTTCCAACTTGTTCCTGGCTAACACGCGACCCCTTTGTTTGTCATCATCGTCCTTATACTTATCAGCATCAGACAACATTCTGTCGATCTCGGCTTGAGACAAACGACCTTTATCATTCTTTATCACTATGTTCTTGCTCTTCCCTGTACTATTTTCTTTAGCAGAAACGTTGAGAATACCATTTGCATCTAAATCAAATGCAACGTCTATTTGAGGAATGCCACGTGGCGCTGGGGGAATGCCAGTAAGATCGAATGTTCCCAGCAAATTGTTGTCTTTTGTCATTGCTCTTTCACCTTCATAAACTTGGATGGTGACTGCCGACTGATTATCTGAGTAAGTGGTAAAGGTCTGAGAGTGTTTGCAAGGTATCTTAGCGTTTCGTTCAACTATTGCTGTCATGACGCCGCCAGCCGTTTCTATTCCCAACGACAAGGGAGCCACATCCACTAAAAGGACATCTTGGATTTTAGAATGACGTTCTCCACTCAAAATAGCGGCTTGTACGGCTGCCCCGTATGCGACTGCTTCATCAGGGTTAATAGACAAATTCAACTTCTTTCCATTGAAGAAGTTTTGCAACAAGTTCTGTATTTTAGGTATGCGAGTGGAACCTCCCACTAAAACAATGTCATGTATAGCGGTCTTATCTAATTTAGCGTCTTTCAAAGCTTTTTCGACAGGATCTAAAGTAGTGCGAAACAAATCCGAGTTCAATTCTTCAAATCGTGCTCTAGACACTCTTGAAAAGAAGTCGATCCCTTCATAGAGAGCATCAATCTCGATGCTCGCCTCACTGCTGGAGGACAGTGTACGTTTAGCTCTCTCAGCTGCAGTTCTAAGTCGTCGAAGTGATTTGGGATTCATTCGTAAATCTTTCTTATGTTTCCTTTTAAATTCGTCCGCAAGAAAATTAACCAGCCTGCTGTCAAAATCTTCACCACCAAGATGAGTGTCCCCAGCAGTTGCTTTAACTTCAAATAGAGAACCTTCATCAATTGTCAGGATTGATACATCAAAAGTTCCTCCACCAAGGTCAAATATCAACACGTTTCGCTCGCCCTTGAGATCTTTATCTAAACCATAAGCTAACGCAGCAGCTGTTGGTTCGTTTATGATTCGAAGGACGTTTAATCCAGCAATTGCCCCAGCATCTTTAGTAGCTTGTCTTTGGGAATCATTAAAGTAAGCAGGTACAGTTATAACAGCTTTTCTGACATTTTTTCCTAAATAGGCTTCTGCAATGTCCTTCATCTTAATGAGAACCATGCTACTAATTTCTTCTGGGGCAAAACGTTTAGTTTTGCCTTTGTATTCAACTTGAATTTTTGGTTTTCCGCCATCATTTACTACTTTGAATGGCCAATGTTTGAGATCTTGTTGTATCTTGGGATCGTCAAACTTACGACCAATGAGACGTTTTGCATCGAATATTGTATTATTTGGATTCAAAGCAACCTGATTCTTAGCGGCATCTCCAATGAGTCGTTCTGTGTCCGTAAAGGCAACATAAGATGGTGTTGTACGATTCCCTTGGTCATTAGCTATAATATCCACATTACCATGTTGCCAGACACCAACGCATGAATATGTTGTTCCTAAATCTATTCCTACGGCGGCCATTGTGATATTTTATTTAAAGTTCTTCGTTTTTTTATTGCTTTTTGTTGTTGAAAATGTATTTTGACAATGAAATATGATGTCAATTTACGAAATTTAAATTCATGTCATCCATCTGTTGTCAGTCAGTGTTTTAGGATGATAGGTTTTAAGTAAGTCATTTTATTTTTATTTTAGTAAGTTAATAGTATAATGCGTCAAGCGTGTCTTTGCATTGATTGTTAGTCAACTTTGAATCGACCTGTGTCCTGTATACAACGTCCTCGCCTTTAAATGTAAGTTTGTAACTCAGTGTTTTTAATTAATATTAATTGATAATTTAAAATAGTACTCCCACTAGTAAGAAGCATTGTTTTACTACTAAACAGAAGTTCTTAATTTTTTATTTAATAAAAATATATCAAATGGAACGCAGCCGTGGTACATTGAATAACTGAACGACACTTTAGTATTGTCAAACTGACACTCTGACAGCAATTCTGTCAGTCTTCAGTCATATCTGTCAAATCAATGAAAGCAACACAATGCGAGCAGCATCGTTATTTATTTGATTAATTCTTGGTTAAGTCAATGCTCCGTTCATAATAAGTTCCAAAATCTTATCCTAGGAAGTGGCCCACCTCAATTTGTTGCAAATAATAATTGTGGACGCTTTAAACCGTATATTTTCATATTATTGCATTTTACTACGACATATTCTATCAGACGTGGTGATTTCTATTTTATTAACACAAAATGCGGTATGCACAGTTAGTTGTGGGTCCTGCTGGCAGTGGAAAGGTAAGAAATTCATTAATACGTTTAATTCTCACCGAGTAAATTCCAAACAAATCCTTTATCACGTTATAGTTTAATTCATGTTCAAACTTGTACATAATCATTTTATCAAAAATGTTAATAATTTAATGTCCTGATCACTTTAGCAATCCTCTCATAGTAAGAAAATTTCACTTACACTTAAACAATTAATTTTGTAGATAAACAACAGCAATTTTTTAAGCATGGTACTTATAATTTTTTTTTTAAATTTCAGTCAACCTACTGTTCAACTATAGTAAAGCATGCCAATGACTCAAAGCGTATAGTGGAGGTAGTGAACCTGGACCCAGCGGCAGAACACTTTGAGTATGAACCGCTGGTGGACATACGAGAACTCATACACTTAGAAGATGCTATGGAGGATGAGGAATTACAGTTTGGACCCAACGGTGGACTTGTGTTTTGTATAGAGTAAGTTTTATTTTGTTTGACAAGTATTATGTTATTGTTTGTTAAAAGAAAAAAGTAATGAATGATTGGCTGATTTTCTGATAGATAATACTGAAAATCTGTGCTTCCTTTTCCACAAACATTGCATTTCTGTAATAGATTTCCAACCTTATAATTTTGTAATTGATTCAAAATAAGCATAATAAAACACTCAGTCCTTTCTTTTGATCATATTAGTTGCAAAATTCATGTAAGTATTCATTGAAGTATTAACTTAGAATTCTAAAAACTATAATATTTCTCAGTAACCACATTGTGTTAACCATAATTTTTAATTAATCATTGGTCACTAAAATGTTCCAGGACCCTTCTAGAAAACTGTGACTGGTTAGAAGAACAGCTAGGCGATGTTGACGATGACTATCTGCTGTTTGACTGCCCTGGCCAGATAGAACTTTACACACACCTTCCTGTCATGAGGAAACTAGTGGACCTGTTGCAGAAGTGGAACTTTAGGATATGTGTTGTGTTCATGGTGGACTCACAGTTCATGATTGATGGTGCAAAGTTCTTGTCAGGTAATGTTTGTCAGAAATTGTGAAATGAGTGTTATTTTACTATCTTATCTTACCATCATCAACAGCCTATAAGTGGCCACTGCTGACCAATAGCATCTTCTCGCATAGAAAAGGTTTGAGCAGTAATGACCATGCTTGCTTAATGCGGATTGACGATTTCAACCTTATAAGTAAGCGATGTTTTCCTTCGCTATTTGTCAGTGGTGTCCAGATAATCTTTGTACATATAACTCGGAAAAAGTCACATTGGTACTTGCCGTTGGTAGGTTTGGAACTCTCACCCTCATAACCTCACACCCTCATGCATGACAAATGGCGGGGCTTAAACCTCTGGCCCACTACGACAATCTTGTCTTACAAATATTATATGCAGAAGTTTGTAAGGATGTACATATTAAACTGTCAAACACCAAGCGGTCACCAGTGACCGCAACCTATTACAAAACCGGTACTCGACAAGTTAATATGTATATTTGTTCTTCTTAAATAACTGAAAGGATTTAGATGAAATTTAGCAGAACAATAGATTATATTATAGTCTCCAATAACACCTGTGCAACTTTTTATTCCTGTAGTTGCAGGCAGAACTTGTGTTTTTTAGTTACACAGTAAATAACACATCTCATCTCACTATGTAGTGTTGAAATATTTTTTAATAATTCCAGGCACAATGGCAGCACTCAGTGTGATGGTGAACTTAGAACTACCGCATGTAAATATTCTCACAAAAATGGATCTGCTCAGCAAGAGTGCCCGGAGACAGATTGATGAGTAAGTTAACAGCTGAAATTAATAAGCTATCCAAATATTTGAATTAAGATCGAGTTTTGAGATTGATTGTATGAAGTGCCTTGCAAAAACTGATTGTAAAGTCTATATAACATAACATACGTAATAATTTCGTCCTATGTAATGGGGTGAGCCTATTACCAGACTCACAATACACATTACCAGACTCCGTTATAATTTGCCCAACCCGAAAATCAAACCCAAAACTGGGAGAACTTAAATATTTTTACTTATTTTCCAGTTACCTAGACCCAGACCCACATGTGTTACTAGCAGACATGAGAAACGCAAAATCAAAATGGCACGAGAAGTATGCGAAGTTAACAGAAGCTATCGGAGAAGTGGTGGAAAACTTCAGCCTGGTCCGCTTCTACCCTCTGAACATAAAGGATGAAGAAAGCATTGAAAATATTATGTTAACAATAGACAATATCATACAGTATGGTGAGGATGCTGATGTCAAGACCCGAGATTTTGATGAAGAGGATCCTGATGATGTAGCCTGTGATTAAAGATTTTTTATTTTATTTCTGTTTTTTATTGAGAAACAAGCTTTGGAACGGAGTGCGGTGTGGTCTACATTCTAAGGTAGTAAGGTGACCCCCTATCAAAGAAAATATAAGTATAAGGAAATTTTGGGGAATCCATAACGCAAGTGACGAAAAATGGATACCTAGTGTTACATTTTAATATATCTCAGTCTACTGCATAGCCACAATTTGTCTGTAAATTGTGAAGAAAAAATCACACCATATTTTATTAACTAAATTGTTATTATTTAATTATTATTAAAGCGTTCCTGAAATCTATTTTCGGAATGAAACACTTGCAGTTTGCCAATCAGTTTCCATTTTATTACATAACATAACATCACGCCTTTTATCCCCGAAAGGGTAGGCAGAGGTGCATATTTTACCACTGTACAATGTAACACCCACTTTTCACTATTTATGTTATGAGTCCCATGTAATAGGGGGTGAGCCTATTGCCATATATACCGGGCACTATTCCAGACTCCATGCTACTACTGAGAATATTTAAAAACCCAGTAATACTTTGCCCGACCCGGTAGTCCTTGATGAGGTAGACAAAAATACATGTAAGTACTTACACAATGAAAAACTCACTGTTCGTCAGTTGTCAAGTCGATGTCGAGTTATCGATGTAATAGAGGGTGAGTCTAAAATCAAACTATTACCACATACAACTTAGGAATCTAGAATTCCAACACCATGAAAACACGCACGAAGCGTTTCACATCACGCTTCCTTGTGCGTAGGTACTGCTAAGGAGCGCAATTCTTTGCCAGAGTCTGTATTTCCTGAAGGGTATACTGGGTGTCTTCAAGCCCCGAGTCATATGTTGCTTACGGGACGACGTGCTTCATCGTAGGCCGTATCATCACTTATCACCAGGCGAGATAATGGTCTAACGTCGGCCCATCGAATATTTATTTAAAAAATAAATCATAACAACAAAATAGAATAGTAATATTTATTATTCTAACATAATATTGTGCCCACAAACAGAAGTGATTAATGTATTAACTATCTAAACATTTACATTTTACTCAACATATTATTATATAGTGTATATTGAAGTAACATAGTATCAGTACATAGGTATATAAACACAACATTATAACAGATTTATTACTATTATTGTTTTCCATTTTGTGACAGTCAACATATACAATTATTTTATCCATTTTGTTATTATTTCGGTATAATAAGGGAATTTGAACCCTATTGTCATGCATGATTAATGTCAATCTTGTCTATTATCAAAGTAATTCAACTTTAAAGTACAGAAAACCCACAGTACTTACCGCCGTACCTTGAGTTCGTTTTCAAAACAAAATCATAACTTACTAAGAAATTTAAGTATTTTTTTATTAAATACCTCTAAATACGGCAATAAATCACACAGTTCTAGGATTCTGTAAAGCAGTAGATACCTACGTATTATTTATTGAAACTACAATAATAACATTGATATTATTCTTTATTAGTATATTCGTTGTTACATTTTGTACCATTTATCTTACAACATAAGATTCTAAATTGCAAAAACCTTAAGAAAGGACTGTCACAAAAAAACGTACTATTAAAGAAATACTATCTGATGGCAGAGTACGAGTTTATTTTACGTTTAAATTAATCGAAAGGAGACTGTGTCCGGCACTCTGATTGGTTGGTTTATTAGAGCCGGCCAATCAGAGCCCTGAACGCGTACGCGTCTCCATAAGACCTCTGGAAATAACACCCAGATTACAAATGTGGGCAATCAGAATAAAACACAAACATCAATTAGTCAATACAACTTGTAACTAGTGTATAATTACAACTTAATTATGGCCAATATTAATAACGTGTCTCTTAGTAGATTCAGTTATTGAAGATATCATTTTGAGATTAACTCGTCGAAATTAATAATATCGATTACGATCATAAGTCCGTTAATTAGGCAAGATGTTGAAAGTTATTTCTATTGGTCAAACAAACATTCATACAAAGACTGATGAATGTAAATGAAACAAAAGAGGTATGTCAGAACGGTGGCGTTTAGTGTTCTATTATGTCTACCTACCCCAATGGGAGACAAGTGTAACGACATATATGTATGAAAATTCTATTCAATTTCTGATCCAGAGATTGAGATTTCTACACTGGCAATATACAGTATGTTAGGTTAAACGAGAGACATATTCAAACCCACAATAGTATATGCTCACATGAACCTAATAATCATATAAACGAGACAAAAACACTAATAAATAACAGACAGAACCATAAAAACGCTTACGGGTTACGGCTTATCGGGCTTACGCGCGCTCTATCCTTTTCGGCGAGATCGGCGCGTGTTTTGCAACGTGACTTACTTTATGTAAGTACAGTTTCTGTTTACAAGTTCATTTGTCGCGCGCTCAGTGTTCATGATGATGTATTTTATTGGACAATTACCTCAAAAATTTAGGTTATAAGTTTTTTACATATTCGGGACGAGAATCGAATACTGAATAGTCCCTCCCTCAGTAAGTCCCTCGTTTGACCTAACACACTGTATTGTATCTCCACATAACATAACATCACGCCTTTTAGTCCCCGCAGGGGTAGGCAGAGGTGCACATTTCGGCGCTTAATGCCACTGTACAATGTAACACCCACTTTTCACTATTTATGTTTTGAGTCCCATATAATAGGGGGTGAGCCTATTGCCATATACCGGCCACATTTCCAGTCCGGCAGTCGCACTTGCGACCACTCGGCCAACGAGGCAGTCAATTGTATCTCCAATAACCAGATATACCAACAGATATGTTACTAGAACTGGCTTCTAGCCTACATTACAATTACCAACACAGTAAACTAAGATATTGTCAAGTAATATTAAACATTGCATTCATAACCACAGTATAATTAGACTAAGGGCTTAAACATAATGTTTATATAATATAATGCATTGATATTACATTATTACTAATGAACTGATAGCATAGACGTTATGATCTACTACCGATTACGTCCCTAACGTTATGAAGGAGCCATAATATGTATTGTATATATAATACACCTATTAAATTAGTCATAATTTTAGGGATAATCCTATTCCAAGAATACAATTCGTACAAATGATGAGAATTGCAATTTTATTTATAACACCATTCATCCATTCATTCACTCATTCATACATTCAAAGATTTAAGTTATGACTGTAGATGGATGATTTTCGGATAGTTTTTTATTATCAGTTTTTACCAAACCGCCCATCTCTAATTATGACTTACATAATTTCTAGTCACGCAATTTACAGGTCAAAATGCAATGGGGTTATGTATTTTTCGGACGCACATCTTTATTTTACTATTTACTTTTAGCAAGTAATAGTCAATACAGTCTACAGTATATTGAAATCTAGATCGGTACTTAATTTATTAGGATTACCTCTCATGAACAAATAGTTGCTAAAGTCCAGCTTTATAGTGTACCAACATGACTGAAGAAAGAATATTACAGAATGAGATAAACGTGAAATATAGTTATACAGAATTACATACCAATATTAGAGACTTGCCATACTTAACTATCATTTATAAGTAATAACTTCAATAGAAGAATAAATCTATCTTTCTAACAACCATTTGCATCATTTTTACAGTATTATGAACACATTATGTATAGACACTAACTAAGCTTACTAAAGCGTCGAAATAACCATATATTTCTGCACTTATAATCGTCAACATAATCACTCCTTCTTGCGTAAGAAAAAACTGATAAAACATTAAACATTTTCGCAATATTCAACAAATGTGATTACTTCACAAAACTAACAAATAATTGACACACGAGATTACATTATTTATTTCAACCATACACCACATTATTCTATATCTTTAACATGCAAAACGAGTATTACGGTAGTAGAAAATAAGGTCTAAAGTTGACAAAACCATACTTAATTGCTTACATAGATAAAGTTAGATTGTCTCCGGGCTATAGAGTATCGTCGGAGGAGTCATCAGGCAGTGAGAGTGCATCAGTGATGCTGAACACGAAGGTTTGGCAGCCAAACTGCAGCAGTGCGCCGTGGGGGACCAGCGCCGAGCCCTCCCACGCGCCCTCGCTACCGGGGACCGACCCGCAGCGACACGTGGACTCGCCCGGGAGAGGAACTGTTAGGTTGCCGTTTATTCTGGAATTGTTAAGATAAATCATAGAAATATTGTTTATTCAATGTAAGTCATACTTGATGGGTGATTATTCAAATTCGCATAAATAAAGCAAGGATTGATCAAAACTAAATAAGAAAGCTACTATGACAGTATGAAAGACATCATAAAACTTTAAAATAATTAAATAAATGTTCTATTCGTACTATTGAGACCAGACAAAATAATAGATGAAGTATAGATAGGTAGCTAAACTCACCGGAGTGGTTCAGCAAGTCGATGCCTGACGATGTGTCGCAAGGCGTCGGCCCTGAGCTCGGAGTCCTGCTGGTCCGGCTGCACTGGCCGCCCCTCCTGGCTAGGCTCGGGCTCCGCCCCGGCAGCCCCGGCCCTCAACACGTCGCAGGTATAGAGCACTCCGTTCACACAGGAGCCCCACTCCGAGTAGTTGATCAACTCGAAGTGACGACTCACCTGATACACGAAACAAGTATAAATCGTTGTATATGTCAATTTTTCTCAGTTATGTTTTATGTATTTTGAAGATGAGGAGCGTTGTGTCATACATAGAGCTTTAGCTTTGGAGTATTTTTATTCATCATACTTTTTCATGTAGCTGATTCGATGATGGTATTTGTGATTTGTGTAATGCCATAAAAACGTACACTAATAGCTCATCAACTCAATGACATGAGTTACTATATCATATCTATATATAATATCTATACATACTATATATAATATCTAGTACAAACCTCATCCATAAATATGACAGCGTGGTTTCTTGACACATGTCGGCAGGCGCTGGGGTCGAGGCGGACGTCGCAGCCACTGTCTGACCCAATACTCAGGGAT